TCATTACAGATAATGCTGCAAACTTGAATAGTCACTTGATGAGGGAGATATGTGAGCAGTTTAAGATCACGCATCAAAATTCTACCCCTTATCAGCCTAAAGCTAATGGTGTTGTTGAAGCACCAAACAAAAACATCAAGAAGATTTTGAGAAAGATGATCCAAAGTTCCAGGCAATGGCATAAAAAGTTGTCGTATGCATTGCTGGGATATCACACTACTGTGCGCACATCAGTCGGAGCAACCCCATAGTTATTGGTTTACGGCACTGAAGCTGTAATACCCGCCGAGATTGAAATTCCATCTCTTCGAATCATTGTTGAGGCTGAAATTGAGGATAGTGAGTGGGTCAATACTCATATAGAACAGTTAATCTTAATTGATGAAAGCGAATGGTCGCAGTCTGCCACGGGCAGTTGTATTAATAAAGAATGGTCCGTGCTTACAACAAGAAAGTGCAGTCTAGGAACTTTGAAGTGGGGCAACTAGTTTTGAGGCGTATTCTCCCTCACCATCAGGAAGCAAAAGGAAAGTTTGCTCCTAACTGGAAGGGCCCATACATTATCAAAAAATTGTTGCAAAATGGGCGTTATACCTGGGAGACATCAAAAGAAATGACCCCGAAACAACTGTAAATGCAGACGCAGTCAAAAGGTACTATGTCTAGTTTTTCTGCAGCAACAACATTATCCGATAGGGATGACGAATGCTTTCATTCTCGCTACCCCAAATACTCTACTCCTTTTCCAAATCTTTGAGTCAGTTACCTTTCTTTCATTACCCTCTTTGGAACCTGAAAATGTTTGTAAAAAAAAAAGAAAAACAACAAAATAACAAAACAAAATGTTTCCCTGAACTACGTTTGACTTGATTCTGAAAGGATACGCAGGCAGCCTCTATCTGGGGTTCAGTCACATCAAAACAAAAATCCAATTTCCCCCCAAAAAAGTAAAACTGGGGCAGACGTTATAATAGTTCGGCGATGATCCCGCCTGAATGGTTCCAAATTTGTAATTCGATCCAAATTTTTTCTACCCAAACATTGTTCAAGTCCTTTGATCAATCAGTGAAAGATGTTCAAAATTGGAAAATGCAGTTGTTTGGATCTGATGCAATCAAGATAAGATAAATAAAATGAGAGAGTCTTATTGATGAAAATCTACGGGCACCGTAAGGCGATGGTGAGTAGAGAAATTGAAATGAGAGAGTCTTGTTAGTGAAAACTCATGAAAGAGCACTATAAGGCAACAGTGAGAAGAGAAATGAGAGAGGTCGATTGGCGAAAACCTGCAAAGGGCACCATTGATCGAAAATAGGGAATTCCTTAAGATCATCGGCAGATAAGAGTCCTGGAAAGATTACTCGGTGTTGAGACATGGATTAAGAAGGGTTTTGCAAGATCGGATGGCTGCACAGATCGGGCATCCAGTCCAAGAAGCATGTCATGTCTATTGAAGTCTGCATGCACTCCAGATAAGTCTTTCTTTCCTCCCTGAAAAAGGACGCTTGTCTGTAAATTTACTTTCATGTCCTTTGTTTACTTTTCTTTGAATCCCTTTTGGTTTAATTATTCTCCGAAACTAATAATAAAAAAAAGATGGCAGGATTGGTTTCACAAAGTTCTGCTTAACAAAAACTAAATCCAAAGAAAAGCACCCATCCTGAGCGGATGCATCAAGTCGATCCCGACTGGCCAAGACAGCCGATGCTCCAAAGTCAAAATTATTGAAAATGAAAGAATTCTAAAGTGAAGTGTCCATAAAGGCAGAATAAGATGAAAAGGCCAAAGTCCCATGTGGGCAAACCGTCATGTGAAATTTTGGAAAGTTGAGGTCCTCGGTTTTAAAAGAGAGATCGATCTCCAGAAAGCCAACAAACAACAAGGGTTCTCACCAAAAGAATTGGGCCGAGATCAAGTGATAAAAAACCATCAAGGCCACAAAACCAACCACCGTTTCAAACTAACAATTATTCTTTGTTTGGAAACCTGAAACAGGTGCAATTCAAAGCAACCATGCAAGAAGAAGGTGCAGTCAAAAGAAATTGCGCAAGGGCTAAAAATAGTTTTGCAACAATGATCCATAAAGGAAATTCCCCTCCAAACTCTTTCTTGCATTTACTCATTCCATAAAATAAAAAGAGAGAATAAAACAAATTGAAAATAAAGGAAAAAAGAAAATTCAAAAACATGGTAGCCTAGGGTCCCTAATCTCTAGTTACGTTTTTTCTAATATAGGGTCTCCACTCTCTAGTTGATTTTATTTTTAAGCATAGTGTCTCCATTTCCTAGTCGCCTTTTTCCAACATAGGGTCTCCACTCCTTAGTTGATTTTTTTTAGACATAGGGTCTCCACTCCTTAGTCGCCTTTCCAACATAGGGTCTCCACTCCCTAGTTGAGTTTATTTTTAGACATAGGGTCTCCACTCCCTAGTCGCCTTTGCCAACATAGGATATCCACTCCCTAGTTGAGTTTATTTTTTGACATATGGTCCCCACTCCCTATTCGTTTTTCCTACATAAAGTATCCAATCCCTAGTTGAGTTTATTTTCAGACATGGGGTCTCCACTCCCTAGTTGAGTTTATTTTCAGACATGGGGTCTCCACTCCCTAGTCGTCTTTCCAACATAGGATCTCCATTCCCTAGTTGAGTTTATTTTTAGACATAGGGTCTCCACTCCCTAGTCGCCTTGCCAACATAGGGTCTCCACTCCCTAGTCGCCTTGCCAACATAGGGTCTCCACTCCCTAGTTGATTTTATTTTCAGACAAAGGGTCTCCACTCTCTAGTTAAGTTTATTTTTAGATACAGGGTTTCCACTCCATAGTCACCTTTTCCAACATAGGGTCTTCACTCTCTAGTTGAGTTTATTTTTAGACATAGGTTCTCCACTCCCTAGTCGCCTTGCCAACATAGGGTCTCCACTCCCTAGTTGAGTTTATTTTTAGACATAGAGTCTCCATTTCCTAGTTGAGTTTATTTTTAGACATAGGGTCTCAACTCCCTAGTCGCCTTTCCAACATAAGGTCTTCACTTCCTAGTTGAGTTTATTTTTAGACATAGGGTCTCCACTCCCTAGTTGAGTTTATTTTAGATATAGGGTCTCCACTCCCTAGTCGCCTTTTCCAACATAGGGTCTCCACTCCCCAGTTGAGTTTATTTTTAGACATAGGGTCTCCACTCCCTAGTTGAGTTTATTTTAGATATAGGGTCTCCACTCCCTAGTCGCCTTTTCCAACATAGGGTCTCCACTCCCCAGTTGAGTTTATTTTTAGACATAGGGTCTTCACTCCCTAGTTGAGTTTATTTTTTAGACATAGGGTTTCCACTCCCTAGTTGTTTTTGCCAACATAGGGTCTCCACTCCCTAGTTGATTTTAGTTTAGATATAGGGTCTCCATTCCCTAGTCTCTTTTTCCCAAGGATATACAATCCTGATTTTATTTCTTTCAATAAAGAAATAGTTTAGATTTTTGTTACAATAACTCACCAAATTTTCCTAGTGAAAACTAGGCAGAAAATTTTTGTTCGTTTGTTCACTTTGGCGCCTGAACAGGTTTTAACCATGAGGCATAGGGTTTGAGATGACCCAAAAGAAGAAGTCTCAACCCAATAAAAGAAAAGAAGAAACAAGAAAAGAAGTTTGAACTCAAGATGCAGAAGCGGAGAAAAGATGCAGACTATTCAAATTTGATTGAAGTCACAAGTTTTGCGTGTCCCGACCTGATCCGAAAAGCTGAAGAATGAAACATCAGTTGCAGCTAACGAGCATCAAGATTTAAATTAGAGTCTACAGGAAGAACCAGCCAAGACTCAAGATCAAGCTTCAGAAGATTTATACATATGAATCTTGTAACTCGTAGCTGATAGGCTTAACTAGTTTAGTTTTTCATCTTTCATTTTGGTGTAATAAAGAGCTCAGCAAGCAGAAACAGCAGCCACAGTAGTGAAATCACAGTTCCCGGTAGCCCCAGGTACCAAAATTTCCAAAACTACACTAACCTGATTCCTTTATAGCCAAGGATATGTAGGCAACCTCTGAAGTAAGGTTCAGTCAGGCTCTTTTAAAAAATGCTTCTCACGGAGTTTCAAATGGGCAAATATCCCTCGTGATTGCTCATTTTATCTTTGCCCGAAAACCCTTCGTGTCTCCGCGCAAAGAGGGGCAGCTGTGAGCATGTGATTTTTGCCCTATATGAAATACTCCTACATAATCCCAAGGAAATAGATTTTTCTTTTAATTATTTGCCATTTTAGGAGTTTTTTTGTAGAATTTTATTAATTATTTGCATTTTTTGTGCATGTTTAATTTTTATTTAAATCATGAAAATACAAAAATACTATGCATTTGCATTTGGGGTTTATTTTTACATGTTTAGGTTAATTAGTAAATTAGTTATTTTATAAAAATAAAAAATCACAAAAATGACTCACTTTTGCATTTTTGCCGTTTAATTTTAAATTTGTAGTTCTTCTTTTAATTTAGAAGTTAATTAATTCTTTTAATTATCATGGTGGATTATTAGCTTAATTGTGTAAGTTAATCTAGGTTTTAGTTAATTGAATAGAAAAAGAAAACATTTATAAAAGGAAAAAAAGGAAATTGAGAATTTGTTTCAAAACCTTGAAATTGGGCCAATTTAGTTGAAAACCCATCCAGAATCTGCCTCAAATTCATGCCCAAACTCGACCCTTACCCAGTCCAATCATTCAGTCATCTAGGCAACTCAAACGACGTAGTATGGAACCAAAACTATGTCGTTTTTAGTTCAAGAGTTGAAGAGTTTAGAACCAAAACTCTAATTGGATCTTGTATGCGCAAATTCCGGCGGGAATCCCTCGGATGTCCGCAATTGTCCACCCAATAGCTTGCCTATGCTCCTTTAAGACATTCAACAATTGTTTTACCTGCACATAATTCAACAAAGAAAAGACGATTACCGGTAGAGTATCATTTGAGCCAAGAAATTTATACCTCAAGTGTGGTGGAAGTGGTTTGAGCTCTAGTTGCGGTGGCTCAATAATAAAGGCTTTGCGGGAGGAGTGGCTCTATTCTCCAAGTCGAGAGAGAGCTTCTTCGGAGCATAAGTGTAGGACCCAAGCCCTTCCAATGCATTGACTGATTCCATATACCCCTCCATATCTTCACCATCGAAATTTACCAAAATAGCCGCCAACGCCTCACCGGGCCATTGTTCTTCCATCTTTATTTCAACCGCATCTTCCACTTCATCAACAACATCAATCACCAAGATGCTTTCATATTCATGTGGTAGTTTCATACCCTTGTTTGCTTGGAATGTAACCTTTTCATCATTCACACGGAATTTGATCTCATTCCGTTCTGAATCCATTAGTGCTCTTCCTGTGGCAAGGAATGGTCTCCCCAAGATGACAGGGATCTCTTTGTCAACTGCACAATCAAGGATTACGAAATTGGCGGGTAAATGAAATTTACCCACTTTTACAAGCATATCATCGACAATTACCACCGATCTCTTTATGGAACAATCGGCCATTTGCAATCTCATACTTGTGGGCCTTGGCATACCTAACCCTGCTTGCTTGTAAATGGCAAGAGGCATTGAGTTGATGCTAGTCCCATTATCACAAAGGGCTCTTGCAAAATCAAACGCCCCAATAGTGCATAGAATAGTGAAAGCTCCCGGGTCTTCTTTCTTTTGAATGGTGGTTGTTGCAATAATGGAACTAACCCGGTGAGTTATAATCACCACTTCATTTTTGGTGGTTCTCTTCTTGGTGATCAAGTCTTTCAAATATTTAGCAAAACCCAGCATCTCTTGAAATGCTTTCCATGAATGGAATGTTTACCGATAACTGCTTGAGAATGTCATAGAACTTTTCAAGTTTGCTATCATCAACCTTCCTCGCAAGTCTTTGAGAAAATGGGGGAGGAGGTCTAGGAATAGGTGGTAGAGCTTTTGGTGTCTATTTTACCTTTTCCTTTACCTCTTCCCGATTCACTTCTTGAACTTTCAACTCTTCTGGAACCTTTCCAACTTCAACAAACTTTGGCTCTTCAATATCAACCTCTTGTTCGGATTCTTCTACTTCAACCACTTGCTCACTCTCTCCTTGTAGTACTTTCCCACTCCGAGTAGTAATTGCCATGATATGAGAAGTTGGACCACTCTCACTCCCTTTGGGTTCTCAATTATGTCACTTGGAAGTGTCCCTTTTTGCTTCGGATTTTGTTACCTAGAAAGATCTCTCATTTGCAACTCCAATTTTTGAATGGATGCAGTATGAGAACCAACAAGCTCGGTCATATTACTCATAGAAGTGTCGGACCTCTCTTGATTTTGAAATACCCGTTCCAGCATGCTTTCCAACTTGGAATCATTTGAAGAACCTTTATTTGAATATTGACCTTTTGGTGGAACATAAGGGTTTGAACTCTGATTTGAGAAATTGTTGTTGTTATTCCAATTTCCTTGATTTGAGCCACCTTGGTCATTTCGTCACTGTTGGTTGCCTTGCCCTTGTGGGTTAAGCCTACATTGATTTGTTGTCCTTGACCTTGGTATTATTGTCTTTGATAGCCTCCTTGAGAGTTGTTGACATATTTGGCTTCCTCATAATCTTCACTTGATGATGGTTGCACATCTTCCACCACATTTACCTTCTTCGTTTAGTTTTCAGTGAATATTTTTGTCAACACATTGACATTGGTGGCAAGCCCTGCAATTACTTGATCTCTTTCTTGATTCTCCTTAATCATGGTGGTCAAGGAGGGAGAACCATATGCAATTCCACATGTGGTGTCCTCCGAGTGCCGACCTTGATTATGTTTTTCCATTTTGTCAAGTATTTGTGTGATCCTTATGAATGTCTTATCCATAAAAGATCCATCAGCTGCATTCTTGACTATAGATTGGTTCATAGGATCTAAACCCATGTAGAATTTCTCCAACAAGATAGAATCTGGAAAACCATGATTGGGAGACCTCACCAAATATAACTTGAATCGATCCCATGCCTCATGTAGATGTTCTCGTGGTACTCGCTTGAAAGAGAAAATTTTATCCCGGAGCTCAGATTTCTTACTTTGCGGGAACCATTTAGCTAAGAATGCTCGGACAAGTTCAGGCCAAGAATGAATGGAATTTGGTGGCATGTTTTGAAGCAATTTCCTTGCGTCCCCCGCTAGTGAGTACTTGACCACCCTCAACCTTAGGGCATCATCTGAGATGTTGTTCTGCTTATGCATCGCACACACACCAAAGAAGTTTCTAAGATGTTGTGTCAGATGATCATCAGTGGAATTCCTGAAAAAGCCCTCCACTTTGAGCATTAGGATTAAACCGTGTTCCACCTTGAAAGTTGCAGCACCAACAACCGGAGGTACAATAGCATTTGTATCCTCAATGTACTCATCTATGTTCGCAAAAGGATTTTCTTCCTCATATTCGGCCATGTCTTTCTATCAACACCAAGCAAAAGAAGCAAAGTGTGATGGAATAGAATAAGACATAAAGTAAAGCACACACTAATCAGTAATTTCAAAACTGTATTCCTCGGCAACAACGCCAAAATTTGGTACGCTCAAATTACACTTTAATTAAATAGTGTAAGGCAGTTGGTGTCAAATATAATAACCCAACAAGGTTGGGGTCGAATCCCATAGGGAATAGGTGTGAAAGGTTTACTTGAGTAGTGTGTAAGTTGACTTAAGTCGTAATTCTATTCGATTAACGTAACAAGAGAATGATATGGTTGAGTACTAACGAGATACCTAATTGTGACTTTGAGAATGTAAATAATTTGATTAAAGAAACCAAGGTTGTGTCCCCATCAATGGAATGTAATGCTATCAGTGTTAATATGATATATTTCTAATGAAAGGTCCTCTAGTTATTCAAATGATTTTTAAATGAATACCCAATATTTTTCAATAGTTCGGTAGTATTTCCTCTTTATGATTTTTCCAAATATAAAAGAGTTGAAATTAACAACAACCAATTTATGCCAAATAAAATCCACTTATTCCTAAGCGATTCTATTAAACAAGGTTTAAAGCCTTNAACACCCATTTAGGTTCCACAACTTTAGTATTTAAAGCTAGCTACTCATACTAAAATAGAAAAAGATGAGAATATTAAATGCCATAAAGCTTACAAAGTGTCAGATTCTTCATTCCTAAAGCTTCCAAAAGAGAGGAATATTCAAAGGTTGGAATATAGCTCAAAAACTAGACAAGAAGCCCCCATAAAACTCCAATAAATCTATTTATAGTGGGCTAAAACTCGGGACCAATTTCGGACAAAAATGCCCCTCCATGTTAATTATGCGACCTTATTTCTGTCGCATAACAGACATGCGGTCCGCATTCTCGCCAAGACCATCGCACTTCAAAAACCTAGTTCCCAGGTAGTTGTCGCATTTTGGTTATGTGGTCGGCATTGTTGATTTGTGACCGCATAATGTCACCGCATTTCATACTTCAGCAACTTCCACAGGAGGTTTGCGATCCTTTATGCTACCCGCAAACTTATTATGCGGTCGTCTAATGGACCGCATTTCTTGCACTTGAATTTGGCCAAATAGACTGTTGGACTTTGCAGTTCCTCTGTGCAATATGCAGTCTGCGTGTTGGATTTGTGGTGCGCATATTCACATTTGCGATCGCATTTTGCCTTTTTCTTGTCCTTTTGCGGCTTTTTGATTTCATTTCCATATTCTTGGGTTCTTAGGCCTCACACATTGCAAAACATTAAAATTGCATAAGTATAAAAGATAAGTGCATTTAAAACGAGCTAAAATCTAAGCAATTGGTACTAAATGTGCCAAAATTCTCTGGCACATCAGCTAGTGAGACACACATCAAGCTTGAGAAGGAATTAAATGATGTGAAAACTAGTCTATGTGGTGAACTTGAGAAAAATAGGCAACTTCAAGCTGAATGGGAGAAAGTAAAAATTGATCTTGAGAAATTTCTGAAGTGGACCTGGTCCTCAGATGCTGTCACTGCCATGTACTTCAACAATAGTGGAAACAGGTAGGGAATCGGGTTCCAAAAGGAGAAAACTCCTTACAACCCTCACAGCAAATACGTCACTATTCCTGATAACTGGTATTGTACCCACTGTGGAAACAATGGGCACTTCAAAGAAAATTGCCAGGACAGGGTTCAATCTGTTTAGAAAAACAAAGTGCTTGCTTAAAAAATGACTACTAAAGAGGGACCAAGTCCCGCTCGCAAGAAACAAATATTGCTTGCATTGACTAGAAAAGCTCTTATCCATCCCTTTTCTCAAAACAAGGGACCCAAATTAGTTTGGGTTCCTAAATCTAACTCATGATTTATATGTGTAGGGAACAGTAAGAGGAAGTGGAATGCAATGGTTCATGAATAGTGGATGCTAAAAGCACATGACTAGAAATACCATGGACTGTCTCTCACTGAAAGCCCTACAGGAAAGGGAATGTATCCTGTGTATATATAAAAAAAAAAGTAGGGGGATACATTCTCGGTATCAGAAAAGTTGGAAAGTGTTTGTCACACTTGATTGAGAGCGTGTGCTATGTGGATTGCCTGAAGTACAATGTCTTGAGTGATTCTCAAATTTGTGATAAAGGGGTCAAACTAGAGCTCATATCAAAAAAATACGCAGAGTTACCAATTTGGTAACTGGTGAAGTGGTCTTAGTCGCCAAAAGAACAAGAACATCTACTTCGCTGACCGTAAATCCCTACAAGCTGGTGATATGAGTTGCTTGAAGATAGGTGACAATGATGCAAAATCGTGGTATGAAAGATTGGGACATGCAAGGCTCTCACTTCTGAATGAACTGATTCAGAAGAATCTGGTTCGTTGGATGCCAAATCCAAGATCCACCTGGACACTGTTTGTTGTAGCAAAGAAACAGAATTTAGAAGTATTTGCGACACTTGTTAGGAAGATCCAAGTGAAGATGGAACTGAAGGAAGCACGTATCAGATCTGACCATGTGACAGAATTTGACAATGCCAGAATTGATAAGTTTTGTAACGAAAATGGGATCACTCACAACTTCTCAGCACCAAGGACTCAACAGCAAAATGGCATTGTTAAAAAAAGAATAGAACTCTGGAAGATATGGCACGGACAATGCTCATTGACAGTAGAATCGCCAAATTTATGGGCAGAAGCAATAAACACTTTTTGCTACTTAGTGAACCGGTGTATGATTAGGTTCCTCCTAAACAAAAACCCCTATGAGTTGCTAAATGGAAGAAAACCAAAGATAACTCATCTTAGAACCTTTGGATGCAAATGCTATTTTCTCAACAACGGGAAGGACCAGCTAGGGAAGGCTAATATGATGAGTCTGATGAAGGAGACTGGTGAAGACAATGCAACATCCTCTTCCAGTTCTCAAGAGGAACCTAGTACTTCAATTACTACCATTGAAGCTAAAGAAACAGTAGGAGATGCAATGCAAGGTACTCCACAAGTAGCAGAACAAGGAGTGGAGGGAAATCCACTTAATTTACCCAGTTTCTCCACTAATCAAACTTCAGTCCCCATTTGGAAACACAAAAGCTCCCATCTACTTGATAACATAATCACTCCCTTTGATTCTTGATTTATGCAAGATCAAAATCCAAAAATTCCCTAGCCCCTTATGTATTTCTATTCCAAATAGAACCCAAAATCAAATTCCAAGGAATCTTACTTGAAGGCTGCCAAAAGAAGTTTGAGATACCTTAAGGCCCACAGGACCTGGTCCTGTATTACCCCTCAATTGACAATTTTAATCTCATTGGGTATGCTGATGCTAACTATGTAGGTTATCTTGTGAACAGGAAAAGCACTTCTAGAATAGTTCACTTGCCATGATCATGTCTCATCTCTTAGGGAACTAGGAAGAAAAACTCAGTGGCTCTTTCAACAGCTGAAGCAGAATACGTAGCGGCAGCATCCTGTTGTGCTCAACTCCTATGAATTAAGCATCAACTGGAGGATTTTGGGGTATTTACTAATAGTGTGCCTCCTTTATGTGACAACACCGGTGCACTCAACTTGGTCAAGAATCCAGTTCAAAACAAAAGAACTAAGCACATTGAAGCGAGGCATCATTTTTTGAGGGACAATGTGGAGAAAGAGTTTATCTGTATAAAGTTCTGCA